AAATCCAAAAAAAAAAAATAATAATAATTTAAGTGCGGAAGCGAAATAAAAGGTTAAGATTTATATCCCTTACACAATAACTTAAAAGTACTAAACAATATTACGGAATGAATTCTCTGAAAGAAACATGAAAAATAAGAAAAATAATAAAAAATAGAAAGTATCTAGCATCTACTCGCAATCTTCTTGCGGATCGGGCTCTGGAATCAGGTCCTCTTGATATGAAATGGTTAAATAAAGGATGAGCTACACTACCCCAGTAAGGATATCACACTATATCACCAGCACAGAAGTAAAGGTTGATATAAAATCAAAACAACTAATGGAGCACTAAATTTAGCAAATTCATTTATCAATCATAAAACTATTTACCGTTCACTTATCGTAGTGGAATTTATGAAAACAACCTGTAGAGATAATAATACCATATAGATCATAACTTCATGAACAATCCGCAACATAAAACATATCATAAATTCATATCCATTAACAATAAGCCAAATCATAACCGTTTCTCATTTCACCAGCCTACTAGTATTCACGGGGGTTCATAGGGGTGTCCCTGCTACACGTGAACCATTTTCCTTAACAATCTAAATTACAGGGTCGTCCCCATACCCCGTCCAGTATAATTGCCAAGATATTAAACATCAATACCCCATCCGGTATGAGGGTGAAATGGACCGTCCCCATACTCCGTCCGATATGAGTGCTAAATTACCAAGTCTCCATACCCCGTCCGGTATGAGACAACGTTCATGATGGGGTTCCCTATGTAACCGGTCAGTCCACCATCTCCCAGGATATTTAGTAAGACTGTCATTCTATCTGTTTATTTGATCACATCCCTTTCTTGTTTTCCTTAGTCTTCATTACCAAATCAAACATAATAACATAAACAAATAAACATGCACCCGGTAATGCAATCATGTCTCAAATTTTAAATCAAACAGAAGTCAGGTAAGACAGTAATAAATGCATTTAAATCATAAAATAGATAAATCAAATACTATCATACTTTTAGACTGTAAAATAAATCAATAGAGACAATGTCTGGTTCGGGCTCCATTAGCAATCCGTAATTAGTTATGCACATCTATTTAATTTGTACATAATATCGTATTATTATTTATTTAAACTTCAATTATATGATTGAGAATAGGGTGAGGGATCCTTACTCGATCTGACGTCGAAAAGCTAAACGGTTTACTGGGTCTACGGGCGGTCCCTAGGTTCTATACATTTTTCTCCGAGAACTGAAACACACTTATAGTACTTATAAATGTTCCAAATAGATCCAAAATCAATCCTATGGCTCACTCGGCCAATTTCAAAAATCCGGCACGGTGGCGGTCCGCCTCGAGTAAGCTGTTTTCTTCCGTTTTTGGCCGAATTCGACCAATTTTGCATCGATTCCTGCTAGCACATAAGCTAAACGGCCTCAGTGGGCTGAAAAAATATGAAAAACTAAAACTCACCGACAGCGGGGCTCTCCAGTGCTGCGGTTCCTCCGGCTCACGTTGCGGTTGGGTGTTTCGCTTCAATCAACCTGTAGAGAAAAAAACAGTGATTACAACAGTGGAAAAATTATGCGAAACGGGAATCAGGAAGGGCCTCATTGGAGGCGGTTTGTAAAATTCTCTGCGGCGGCGACGCCAGACTTCGTCAGTATTTTTCAGCTAATTGGCCGGTTCTTTCACTCCGATTTAGCCATGAGTGAGATTAAAATTTAATTTCGTGCAAAAGGAGAAGTTTTTAGCTTTTTTTACAGTAAAAAATGGTTCCGGTGCGGCAGTGGGTGGTGGTGGTCGGCTCCCCGGCGGCTGGATCGTCTTCTTCGGTGATGGGTTCTAGCGGCTAGGGTTAGGGTTTGGTTCGGATGAGAGTTATTTATACCCATCCACTTTTGATTTGGGTCATTCGTCGTGTTTGATGTAGACCGTCTGATCGCGATTAAATAGGAAGTGAATTTAAGCCGTTCATCGCGATCATATTTGGGCCGCTCGATCGCTTTTAATCTGGTAGTTCGATTGCGTTTGGGAGGGAACGCATCCAGGTCGTCCGTGCGCGCGGGAACGGACCTCAGTCGTTCGATTGCGCACACGCGGATTGCCCACGTGCGCCCCCCCCCCCCCCCCCACAAGGCCTTCCTCGCCGACTCTAATATACCATTCATAAACATTTCCCTAGACGGCCATCTTCTTGTCTCCGTCCGGACATCCTACGACTGCTACGACAACTTCGGTAGCCTAACTGATTGATACGATTTCTACCTCGTTTCTCCCGGTCGGTTCCTCGTTTCATCCAGCAGACACATGTTCACCGTCAAAGGTTGCTACACTTAA